GACAGAATTGGGTAGTCCCGTCTTCATGAATTGTACTGCTTCTCCCTCTTTTATGTTAACAACATTGATGTTGTGCACATGACGGCTTTCATCTTGGTTCTCCTGTAGGAAGCTTTGGAAAATTAAAAATAAACTGGCTTAAATTGTTTTACTGTTTTTTTTATGGTTTGTTATTACTATTATTATGATTTTTATTAGAGCGGTTTTCAATTGAATTTCGAAAGTACTTAGCAAATTGCTTTGGTTTAAATATCTCGCGCCACTTTTTCAACCAAGCAGAAGTGAAACCAAAACCAAAGTATACTTTTTCCCGCGCTTTGTATCGGCTACGAGTAATTACTTCGAGTTTTGATAGGTTCACTGGATTGTCTACGTCCGTTTGATTGGCCGAAGTAATTACTTTGGTTTTGGTTCTACGACACTCGATCGAAACTAGCTCTATTATTATTATTATTATTATTATTGTTGTTGTTATTATTGTTGTTATTATCATTGTTACTTCAAACAACAAATATATATGAAATACATATATGTGAACTGCGGTTATGAAACGTATATGTGCACGATCCTTCGCAGTAAAGCACTATTTAAGCAATAGTGAAAATCAGACCTGAAAAAAATTCAGGCCTGTACGGGATTCGAACCACTGACCTCTGNTCCAGTATATTGTCACCTCTTGTAGGCTGTAGGACCATTTGGTTTAAAAAATTATCAGATAATATATCAGATAAAAGCTCATAATTAAACGATTAGTTCAAGAATAAATTGTTCTTCCAATCGATATCTTTAAAATTGAAATCACCTACCAGTATGATGTTTGATAGGTGCAACAAAGATTCTATATTTCTCTGGAGTATTTCTAGGCATTTCGAATCACTAGATGGTGGTCTATAAAACACTCCAAACACAAATGACTTGCCCCTTGAATAATGAATATCGATCATCAAAAGTTCACCATTGTTACCTTCCAATATATCACGTTCATTGCAAATGATGTTCTCATTGACAGCAACTAACACACCGCCTCCTTTGCGATTTCGATCTTGTCTGAAGACCCGATACTCCTGTGCAAATAACTCGGACGATCTGATGGAATCGTCCAAGTAAGTCTCAGTGACCGCTATAATATCAAAGTTTCTTCAATAAACATCAGCTTCGAGGAATGCAGACTTGCATATTCACTAAACTTCTAGCATTAAATAAAGCAACTTTAAGTTGTTGGTTTGGGCCTGGATTTGGTTCTATGTCTCCTCCAAGCATCAGTAAACTTGATCGGAAAAGCTTGATTTGATGCCGTAATCGAAGCGACGCCATCTTGTAAGTTTGGAGTAGAGTTGAATATCGAAGTCTAGAGCACACCAAATACTAGTCGTGGTCGAATCTTGAATGACCGAGAGCGTAAAAACACTGTTGCCAGCATTTTTTGGAGGAAAATCAGTGGTAAGAGTCCACAGAATATAAATTAAAAGATACTTTGGGAAGAGAGCTCTGAATCGTGCCATTGCGCAAAGACATGAGGAACTGTTTTAAGTATACATAGTACGTTCTGTTACGCAAATCAAAGTGGTTATACTGATAATCACTTTCACAACAAAAGTGGATTTTATTTAGAATATTCACTCGGATCATACTGTGTAAGATTTTTATAAGCTTTTTTTGACATATTGATTCATGAATGGGGTGTGAAATATGGTAATGTTATCTGCAAACTTTCCAAAATTGATTTTTTATCAATTACATACAATAATTATTTGAAATCAGAAAAAATGTAGTTTATATGAATTGAACATGACATTATTTTACGGACAAAAACTCGTGATCATGCACTGTGGTTGTTGTTTAAAATAGCACATAAATTTAAGGAGATATAATCAAATATTAAACCGGCATTCTAGTTAACGAGACTCTCATTTCGTAAGTCAGTAAAGTCAAATATTTCCACAAACAAGATCCCTTAGCAAATCCCGTATTTCATCCTCGTCGTCCATTACATCGTCGTTTCTATCGTCATTGGCGCGGTCATAATCGTCCCCGTCCTCATCCCAGGGATCCTTTTGGTCTACACAAATGTTATGCAGCTCTATACATGCAACAGTACATTTAATAGCAAACTCGAGGGGACTGTCGAAGCGTTTCTGTAGCACCCTCCATCTGCTTTTTAAAATCCCAAACGCCCTTTCAACAGTCACTCTTGCCCTGCTCAACTCTTTATTAAAGGTTTGCTCTTCTGGATCCCTTGTTCCTTCGGGAAAAGGTTTTGTTAGCCAGGGAACCTGTGGGTACGCACTATCTCCCACCAGGTACGTACGAATTTCTCTCCCTCCAATAGTTACAACAGGAGCTTGTAATATATTACCTCTCTGCGTTAAAGGACAATTCGCTATTTCGTAACACTGTAGCATCGTGAGCACTCCCCGGAAAACCACACACTGCATCGATAAACTTGCCCCTTCCTTCCACTGCTGCCTGGATAATGAAATCGTGTTGCTGATAACAACTGAAATAGTCGAGTGCATTTTCTCGGGGTGCGATAATTTTTATGTGTGTCCCGTCGATTGCACCGGCAACGTTAACCAACTCTGAACGTGTGTTCTCACGAAAAGTTTCTATAGATGCCACTGTTTCTGCCGGTGTTGTAGGAAATTTGATAAACTAATCCCTAGCATCAAAAAGCGCATTTACGACGTATTGGACGGCTTCAATTACGGTGCTTTTGCCAACGTTAAATGTAGGGACAATCGATACGTAAGAGTTTCCATGGCTGAGTCTATAAAGTCCAATAGCAAGCTCTTTCTCCGGTGGTATACAGCCGTGCATTGCCGTATCGTGCCTCGTTAAATGAGGATTCAGGTGTTTCAAAATCACTTCAAAAGTTTCTTTTCTAACCCGAAGTTGCTCTTTAAAATAATCGTCGGGAATCAAGGGATCATTATAGTGGATTTCGAACCAGGCGCCAAAACCTTCGAACCAGGCGCCAAAACCTTCGAACCAGGCGCCAAAACCTTCGAACCAGGCGCCAAAACCTTCGGCGGCGGAGACCATGAAAAGCATTGATAATAATCATCTACTGCAAATTCAGGAGATTAAAATAGACCTGCATAAGAGTGGCGAGCAGGAGAAGTACTCTGAACATGATGTAAACAAAGTATTCCTCGTGAAACGAGTTTCCCGCCAGTACCTGCCAGTAAACCGATGCCTAGTAAGAGATGTTATATGTCGTACGTGCGCGACCGCAAACCTGACCATTATAATTGGATTATGTTATGTTGGAAATTGGCCGAGATCATTTTTTGGTAGCGACATATGAACACCTGTCTTTAAACGCGATCCCTGCCTTATATTCTTATGCTTGAATTGACTCTCGTCACATTTCATCACGTAGACAAGCCCTCCAAATGGAACAATGAGCCTATCTTGTAAGTCCCTACCACAATAATGTCTAAATAAGGCGTAGATATTCCCAACAGTGTTGTTGGTCAGACTTAACATACGAGCCATAGTTGTTCGAAGTTCGCGAAGGTTCCAGAGATATATACAAAGCAGAAGCTTTCCCAACGGAATTCTTGGAAATTCTCTGAAGAAACTACCAGAGCGCAAAGATTTTTTCCTTCGGCAGTTGGAGCACTTCCTTAAGTTTCACGGGCACGTGGTCACTGCTGAGCGATGAAACATAACACTTGACATGTATGTCTTTAACACATTGTTCCTTAAAACCACCTCACCGGCAGATCAGTATGATCAAATATCCATTATTAACACTGCTACAAAATGTATCCCATCGCAATAAAATTGTGGAATGTTTCTTTGGTATCAGAACTTGATCTCCAACAAAGAATGAGAATAAGCAAGGTCTTAATTGACTCGGTGCATGAACTCTACACGAAATGATATATATATATATATATATATATATATACAAACCAGAGAATTCCATCAACGTGGTCTTCATTTCTAACAGTTGGGTTCATCGTGCGATCGCAAGGGACACATCTCCGAGGACTGGCCAGACAATTTTGTCCTTGCAGCCACTATATCGATTCCAAAACAGGACCGTTTGAAAGGAGTGTGATATCTGCGAGGTTCAATGTCAAATGTTGTTAGGTATGTTCAGCAAACTGTTTGTTTTTTATCAATCATCATTTGTTGATTATGTCGCAAAGTGCAATTTCCGGTCACATTGTGCCTTTCCTGCCAATTTTTCCAGGGCTGCGATGCCAAACAAAAGGTATATGCTGTTTTATTTTGCTTTCTGAGGTCCGACTAAAGGTTACATTTGAGTCATTTTTCGCACAAGGTTTACTTAATCAGGGTTCTCATTAAGTGCCGGCAGCCGGCTAAAAAACCGGCTACCTTAAATTCAGAGCCGCCTACTTTTCGGTGACAAGCTTGCCTCCTTATTTTGTATCTACACTTAGATTTCAAAGTTAAAAATCGCGTGAATCGAACGAGTAATACTTGAAAGCCGTTTCAGCAGCAAAACGTATTACACAATGCCAATGCGCGCCTTCTACCTTCTGCGAAATTCCGCTGACCAGTGTTTGTTGTCAATCAGTGCGGTGTGGCGTTCGGCGTGTTAGAAGAAGGCATGAAATGGCGTTCGGCGTCTTAGAAGAAGGCATGAAATCTTAGTATGTAATTAATTATAGAGTACCCATGAGTAAAAGAAAACCCATTTCAAGCCAGCCTGGAATTGATCGATATTTCTGTAAATCACGAAGAACGGAAAGCCAGGTAGATGAAGGTGAGAAGACTACTGCCCTTTTTGGGGTGTAGTCTGGTCCCATTATTAGGATTCCAAGAAAAGAAAGATGTTCAGTAAAATTTATGGTTGTCTCTAATAAAAAATTTATTTCTTAAAACCAAATTTGTTTGCCAAAAGGCTCAAAATGGCAAATCTAACCTTCTATATTTTGAAGTTTTTTGGAGGAGGGGAGGGGGCAGGCTGCCAGACCCTCTTAGAGGCTCATGCCTGTGGTACTCGCTTCTCCCGCCGCCTACTTTTATGTTTNCAACTGGTAATGCTCTCGCCGAATGGCACGATTTAAATCTCTCGGGTCAATACAGATGCGTACTTTGTTTGGCTTCACTATAGCCAACATGCTGGATACCCACTGCGTCGGTTCTGTTACTGGAATAATAACTTTACGATCAACAAGTTCGTCCAGCTTGTTTTTGATGCGTGGACGCAAGGCTACTGGCACTCGCCTCGGTGCGTGGACAACTGGTTGCGCCTGTTCGTCTATGGCTATTTTGTATGCTCCCGGTAGGGCCCCTAATCCGTCGAATACGTCCTCATACTCTTCGAGCAAGGAGGCTTTGGGGCACTTGACGTGTAATGCTAGGACGTCACAATTATGCAAACTCACAAAGCCAAGATTGAGGCTGGTGTTCAATGATAAAATCGGTTGATAGTCTCCGTCTAAGATGTTAAACTCCATTGACCTCCGCTGTCCACGGGACCACACAGGCAGGGTAGCTTTACCAGCAATTTTGCGGCGATCCCCTGTGTACGAGACTATTTCCTTTTGGCATGGTTTGAGGCGATGAAGGAGGGTGTCCCCAGTGATTTGCTTGTATAATTGGGCCGGGAGAATGTCGCACTGCGACCCAGTATCTATTTGAAACTGGACTTCTGTCTTGGGATCTGGCCCATAAATGTGGAGTTTGACCACTGCCAATTTTTCCTGGCCTTTGCTCTTACTAGTAGTAGCACCAATGTAGTAGGGGTCGTTTCCCATGTCGACGGCTTCGTGGACCGCCGAAACTCTACTTTTCACTCCTCGGGGATTAGCGCGACATTTATTCGCAAAATGATTCATACTCCCACAGTTAAAACATGTTCTTCCATACGCGGGACAATGACGTCCATGCACCATTCCGCAATTTCCACATTCTTTAGACGGTCTTCTAAATGCTTGTGACTTAAGTTGTCGTTCTTCTTCAGGTTTTTCTGCCGATCCCGCCTTCCGTAACGCATGAACTGCAGTGTCTCCTCCAGCCATTAGCTTTACTTGCTGTTGGGTCTGTTCTGACGACTTAATAATGTCAACTGCTTGTAGGAGAGATAAATCATTCAAACGGAGAAGTCTCTCGCGGACGCGATCATCCCGTATGCCTAGCACGAGGCGGTCACGCAAAATTTCATCTGGTGTGATTGTATCGTGTGCACAGTTTTTTGCGATCGTTCGAAGCTCCGTAAGATACGTCGAGATGTTTTCGCCTGGTTCCTGGTTTCGGTTGTTGAACCTATAGCGTTCATATATGACCTGTGTCCTAGGAATGCAGAATTCGTCGAACTTCTTCAGGACTTGTGAAATGTCGTCTGCGTTTTCGTCTTCGTTCCAAATAAAGGTATCGTGGGCTCTGACGCCATCCTCGCCTATAATGCTTAGTAATGTCGACACACGAACTATGCCCTCTTGTTTATATACACCAGTAGCGATTTCGTAGCGCTGCCACGCTGCTTTCCACGATTTCCATGCGGTGGCTAAATTGTCGTCAAAATTAAGCGCTTTCGGCGGGGGCAAATTTGACGGGGGAATAAAAACTTGAGTCGGCGCTGGTGGCACAACTATGGATGCTTCAGCTGCTTCTGTCATCTTTAGGGGTGAACAGATCCCACTTCTGACACCATGTCACGATTCTGTGAACTCAAAAGGGTTGTTTATTGTGCGAACTCGACTGCCGCCACGTGTGTTGTCGTTGTCTCTTAAGTGTTCTAAATATAAAGATGTTCATCGGCCCAGTGGCGTGACCGTGTAACGCAATATCACGACAGTGAAGAGTTCAATTTTTGGCTTTCAGAGTAAAATTTCACAAGACAGTGAGAAATACCAGTGTCCTGTCGATGAAGGGAAACATCGATTCCATGTGTGGAGACATATTAAAACTGTTATTCAAGTAACGCGGAAAAATCTACTTGAAAGCATTACAGGGTGAGACTTAAATTGAATATTGACCAGAGAACATAAGAAATAAAAACCCATTAGCATTTCGATGATGATGATTTTCTTGAATTGCATCATGCAACCATGTACCTTAGGAAAGATGTCGTGTTTTAAAACGCTGAGACAATCGATGAATCGTACTAGTAAGTTATATCGTAGGCGTGTCGCGAGCTTGTCTCGTGCGATAGGAAATAGTACCGTGTAAATCTACCGTTTAAAAGCTCCATCCATTTGCACATAATTTATCACAGTTATCTGGATAAAGTAGTCGCATCCTGCTCGAGAGAAAGTTTGAGGCTGCTGCGAATCATAGAGGAAAATTTTCAAAAACGCTTCCAACGTCAGTATAATATGTTACGGACGGACAAATGAACAAGAAGGCCATAGCAAACAATCTAAGTTGCCATAGCAACATAAAAAAGCAAAATGTGTGGGAAAAAATGTTTCATGTTGTCGTGCGGTAATATGTCAGCGGTCCTCATGAGGAAGAAGCCGTAATCAGTGAAGCGTATTCAACGAGGGAAGAGGTTTCAATATATTTACAACTTACGAGCACATGGCATTGCTTGACAACCTCACACAAAGATAGGGGGAGACTGGAACCAATACTACTCAGTCTCTACAAATACACTACATCTCCCCCTTTCTTGGACCGAACTACAACGGAAATAACAACAAAGAACGGGGTTCGGAAATAACAACAAGGAACGGAGTCCGAGGACATAGTTCAACAGTCCATGTAAAAACTCCAACATTAACTAGGAATGTCTGATGACAACAGTTAAATGTACGGAAGTCCCAGCATTACTTCAGATAGACTCTATTAGTCTATCCGGAGCTCTTCGCCCCCTGGAAGATCGGCGAAACGGGGTGGGGGCCGCTTCCACGGACTGGGGAGGAGCCGTCGCTGGTGCCTCCGCTGTTACTGCCGGTGTTACGTCCTGCTTTTGATCCTGAGCTGAATCTGTTTCAGCTGATACACCTTCTTGGGCATCAGGTGGTACCTGGGGTTGTCCGGAAATATCCGACCTGACCGGAATAGCCCATGGAACCTCCAAGGACTGGTCCTGATACTCTCTCTCTCCACCTGGTTCTGANCGTTTGGCTGCGTTATCCTCATCATCATTGATGTCATAAGCCGTGAAGTACTCTTGAAGACGCTCCAAATAACTCTCGATGTCTTCGGTTTCAGCGTCGAACTCGTTGAAAGGAGGTCTGCCTGCCATTCTCCCGACACTTTCTTCAGTGAAATGTAGTCGTTTTGGACTTCTCGAACGTATTTCCGAATAGCTCTAAGCTGGACAGAGTTGCCTTTAACGCCCACGCGTGGGTTTTGGGAATCCTCGTCGGCACTGAAGCGTATTCAACGAGGGAAGAGGTTTCAATATATTTACAACTTACGAGCACATGGCGTTGCTTGACAACCTCACACAAAGATAGGGGGAGACTGGAACCAATACTACTCAGTCTTTACAAATACACCACAATCAGTAATGTTCTTTTTAGATGGCGCCTCCTCAACGAGAGACACAGCAAACGCCACCGACGACGGACCGGCACCAGGTATGGGAAAATCACCGAATTCAAAATATTAGTTTAGAGATGAAATGATACCCGAAGTAAAATTGAAACACAACCTAGTGAAAAATTGTCTATCGAACTTTGGCGCGCATGGCCTATGCACCAACGGCGGGAGTAAACAGTAAACTCAAAATAAGATCGACCTGCGGAAGGGTTATGAGACCGTGAGACTGAGCACCTTAATTGCTTAGTTTTCTCCACGAAAAACTTCATAACATCTTTAAAAGTTTTGAAAAGTGTCCTAGTGAGGTATGGAAGGTAAAAATTTCTCTTATTAAAAAAAAATATTTTGCAATTTTGTTTGGGGCTTTTGTTCACGATTAATAGCTTCTTAATTAATAATTACAACACCTTGTTAACTTTATCATTTCTGTACCTATATAAGCAGTATTACAAGGTTTCAATAATAAGCTGTATTTCGAACATATTGCAGTCCAAGATGATTCAGAATCTGATAATTCAGAAGTTGCCAATCCAGTCGAACGAGGCAGGCATGGGGATGCCAAAAACAGCAGTGAAGAACATGGCTCTGACATAATCACAGTAGCGTCAGATAATGAGGAGAATGTCGGAAATCAACATTTGGGTATTCGCATGACTCAAGTCATTGTGATTGCACTTTTTACTCTGTAGAATAAAGGCCAAAGTTCTCGACAGTGCTTTATGAATCTGCACTCCTTTGCTTTCTTTCAATTTAATTAATTAAGGATTCATTTTCACCAACAAAACCCCTACTCAAATTGAACTAAAAAACCCCCAAAAGCAACACAAAAAATGGTTATCAAAAGGGCTTGTTCAGTCTTTACGATAACACTAGTCTAAATAAATAAATAAATAAAACGTTACACTGCACGTAGTCCAGCTTTAAAATTGAATGCTAATTTTGCTATTCATTCGAAGATATTAGCAGTGATGAAGAAGGACTGCAAAGACGAAGAAAAGAGCTTTAGAAGAATCGCTGGTACAGGAGAAAGCTAAGCGATTGCGCATTGATCAAAAAGCGCGGGAAGCTCTCGAGACAGCTGAGAAGAAAGGGGCCTTCTACAGGAAAAAATTTAAGCAAATAGTGAAAAAGGTGATCAAAAATGGTAAAAAAAAGTAGAGGCCCTGCTGAAAAAAGGTTTGATGAGTATTCCAAGCACCATCAGAAGCGAGTAAAAAACCAGCTGAAGGAGGAGTGCCAAACTACACTGTCTTTTCTTGGACTATACAATTTTTTGCCACCAAAGTTGAAGTCTTTAACACTGATCATGACGAGCTTTGCCCACCAAAAAAATTTATGCAAATTAGGCTAAGCCGGATCTGAGTTCCGCCTGGCAATTATTAACTGTAAGAGAAGATCTCAGTTCGCGCCCACAGCACGTTCAAGGTGTTGCGGATGAAGTTTCTGTAATTACTTTTTGGCACTTTTTGGCGTCAAAATTGCATAGTTTGGGTAACCCAAAACCCTTAAGTTGACCTTTCTTGTCATAACACGAATGTTTTCCAGAAAGGGACACGCGGTAATGTCGGTGTCACTCGTGTGCAGGCATTTTTCCAGGTAAAACCCTCGCGTGGAATCAACTCATGTTTAATTTAACGCTCCTTTTATGCGCACAATGTAAGTTGAGTACTTTTTAGGTGGGGACTGGAAATTTTTAGGACTGGTCTGTGGTCTGGGCAGGGCAAATGAGGATTAAGCTTGTGTGAGGTGCAAGTGTCCCAGGCAGTAACGGTGGGACACAAGTAAAAAGTGGTCAATTAATGACCCCACATTTGGTGCTAGAACCATTGAGGAAATAGCAAAGTTCTCCACTGCAAAAAAATTTTTGGTTGATTGTTATTTCGGAGAAGGTAACGAATCTGATCCAACCGACGCGTCGGCCAACACGTTGACCAACGCGTCGGCCGACACACCACCGACGCGTCGGCCGACACAATACCAAACGCATTACCGACAAAGGAAAACAAACAATTGTAAACCTGCGATGATACGGCTAATTACTTTGCATGTGAAGCATGGAATTAATCGGAAAAATAGTTAGCAGTCAGGACACAAAACGAAAGGCATGCGACGCCATTTTTTTTACGATACTAGGACTTAGTACCTCTCTCCATACAATACTAGTTTCTAGTCTTTCTCGGTGGTATTTGCAAGCTTTTGAGGGTGGGGTTATAACGAGTTTCGTCTTTCTAGAATATTAGTAAATCTTTAGAGGGGGACATGGGAGTCAAGGAATTAGATAAAGAATATTCATTGTTGATCATTAACTTTCTTTTATTTGGTGGCTCCTAAAGGAGCCGTTTTTTTGTTTTTTAGACAGCCTTTTACGAATAAAAGGAGTCTTCCACGGCCCGCGGCAACAGCATCTTGTTGTGTCGTAAGCGTTTGACCATAGGCAGTAGGGCACCTAGCTGCTTTCGGCACTCGTCCTCAATGGTCGTAACGGACAGTTTGGGATCGCCCAGCCTCTCTAGTGTGCTCTCGTAGGTGACGTTGTTGACAATACGGAGTTCAGCAATCCCTAGGAAGTCGCGAATGGTACTTCGGGCAGTTCCGGCCAACCTGTACGCGTTGTTCAAGCTGCACTTTCGCTCTCGGATGACGGACAGCACAGCCCGATAACGCCTGTGGATTTCCTCTAGGTCGTTCCTGTCCACTTTAGCGACTGCCTGTTGGTTGGCTGGTGGCTCTGGCTGGTCCTTTAGCTCTCGCAGCTGCGCTTGCAAGGCCTCGATCTGTTCGTCTTTCTTTCGCATTTTTCTCTTGGAGTTTGCTAGGCGTTGTTCTGTCTCGCGAACGAACGATAAAAAAAACGGCTCCTTTAGGAGCCACCACATACAAAAAAGGAAATGACCAATGAGTTAGTAATCTCTGAATTAACCGACGCGTCGGTGAATTTACCGAAGCGTAGTAAACTTGCCGACACATTTGACGTTATTTTTGTCGGCGAATTTATCTATGTGGAAGTAAGTTAACCGACATATCGGCATTTTCATATTGTAATAATTAGAGCCCCAAATGGTTATATCATAACTCATTAAAACCTGATTAGTGCCCATTCTGAATAGACTGATTAATGAAATTCGGG